TTGAAAATTGCTGGTTAGCTATTTTTAAAATTAAACTATCAAAACCAGTACATCCAATAACATTGGTGACAATAGCTGTGGCTTTTGTTCGGTTACATGACATTTTATTTATGACATTTGACTCTGGATTTAGTGATTTTATTAAACTTATTAAGTGATCGGAAGTTCGAAAGGCTATATTGTGTTCCGTTATAAACATTGCTACTTTAATTTCAGCCTCTTTTACTTTTTTATCGGTAGTAATATTATTACTTACTTGTTGCATTTGATTAATAGGTATGGTATTTGCTACAGATTTGGCATTACACACATGTTTGCCTGTTTTAGAATGTTTGGCAACTGCAGATAATCCACCAAGATAAGAATCGTTACAAAACATACAGTGAAAATATGTAGCTCCTTTTTTACTAGAACGTAACCATTTAGAATAATTTGGATTTTTTTTGCCAATCTACCCTGTAATTTTGTAAATATGGTTTCTTTTTAGGCCATCCTTTCGTACTACGTGTCGTTGAATCTTCATCATTTGATGACGCCATTCTAATATTCTGTAAAACAATAAAATTTAAATATTTATATGAACTATGTTCACACTTCAAACTACATATTATGCCGATTTGACATTAAATAGTATCTGTAATGTTACTTTCAACTTACTTCTAACATGTTAGGTCTATGATTTCAGTTACGACTTGACGACTTTGCGTTTGCTTTGCAGTTTGCACTTCGCAATTTGCCAGTTTGAAAATGATTAGTGAGATAACTGAATACTGATAAAGTAATAAGTGAAATATTTCAAATACTTATCATTTATATTCTTATCAGTATAACTACAATTATTTACCTAGGAAGATATTATAATATCATTGATTGTTTTATTCTGTGATAATATATCTACCTTGAAAATTACAAATTTTAACCATGTTTTATTCTATAAGAATCGTATTATTTTTTTTTTTTTGTGAAATACAGTTTTTTATAAATTATAACCTTAGGGAACTTAAATCTTCAGATATCCTCAAAAGTATAAAATCTTCAAATTTATACCTAAAGCAAGTCAAAATCTCCAGAAATAGGAAAAATCTCTAAATATGGCAACACTGTCTGTGTTACCACCTTAGATCATATACCTACATCATATTGTATACGATTTAAGGTTACCACTTATCTCCACGAAAATAAATTAAACACGAATCAACTGTAAATAAAACGGTTTAACAACAACAAAATGAGAAAAAATGTAACATGCATATAAATATAATAATTAAAATAATTGTAATTTAAACTTCTTGATATATAATAAAACAACTGAATTAAAACTTTAACAAAAACAAAATAATGAACAATATTTTACATATAACTAAATATAAAAACTAAAACAATAGTCAGTTAAACAAACTATAATATAATATGATACAACAACAAAACTAAAAACATTTGTAGCTTAACTTTTGGTTAAATAAAACAGTTTATAAATAATAAAATATCACAATGGTCATCATTCATCAGTCTTCTTCCTCAATTTCAAATCTCAATACATTAAATATATTATCATCTATGGTACCTTTGTTATCGCCTGATTTCTCATACAATAAGTTTTTTGTCATTCGACTAAACATTTCATTGTTGGGCTGAAAGTTGACACAATTTTTCCCACTGTCTCTGCCACCTTTTATGTGCTGTTTCGTATGCAGCGCCCCATTTATAGTTTCGGTGTTTAGTCGGTTTCTCAATTTGGTTTTCATACAGTTCACTGTTGAAAATACTCTTTCGCAGTCAGCATTAGCATGGGGCAAACTTAATACTGATAAAGCAAAATCAGCTAGCTCACTATAGTCACCAAGCTGTTTTACTGCTGACCTAAAAATTGAATATTTATTAGTCTTCTTAGTTATGTTACATAACAATACCAATTTTATAAAAAAAACTTACCAAAATAAATCAGGATATTTAATATTTATATCCTCATTTAAATTAGATAGTGTGAGGGGCAGTCTACGCCATTGGCTATCAATAGATTGCATCAATTGGCTGTTGTCTTCTGGAACGATCCTAGGTAAAGTTGTCATTAATGGCAATAAAGAAGGAATTTCATCTCTAAAACTCAATGATGTTGCATTTATTGGTTTAAGTGATTTGAGTTTGGACAATACAGGATCATTCATGTTGTATCTTTTTTTGATTTCAACTGTAGCTGCTTGTAAAAACTGCCTACACCTGAAATAAGCACAGATTCATTAAAATATAAATATTTAAATCATAAATAAAAAAATTAAATATATTACTTTTCATAAAAATCTTTTAGACGATGCTGATCTTTCACAATTTCTGGTTTTTCTTCATACCTCATCACACTTATGCCCAAATAAAGCTGATTGTTAATCAACTGGTACATACCGTTTTTTGGATTTATTTCATTTAATGGTGTTCTAGAAATATAATCCTTCTTCAAAAAACATTGAAGGATTTCTGTGTATAGTTCGATGATCATGTCGTGTAAATCATTTACCACTACTTCCTTGGTTTGAAAAAAACTGTTGAATCTAAAAACAAAAAAAAATTAATGATTAACAATTCAACTTAAAAACTTAAGTAGTTAAAAACTTGTTGAACATTGGTAGAATCCAATCTAGAAAGTAGTAGTATAGCTTCATGAAAGGATCATTTAAATTTTGATATATGTGTTCTGTGGCTATTAATCGCTGAGATAAATATGTGTCAGTAAAAAACAATTTCAAGGCGTCCCATTGTTCCAGGAGTCTTGAGACCACAGCACCAAGGGATAACCATCTTGTCTGGGACGGATGCAACATTTTATGTGGTTCGATATCCATAAAACGCTGAAATTGTTTTAGCTCACTTTGGCGCTTTGAGCTGCTTTTTAAAAAATTGTATATATTTCTTGCCAAATCTTCACATGAGCGTGGCAGATACTTGCACGCTTCACTGACACAGAGATGAGCAGAATGGCACACACACTTCATAATAAATATACCTGGGCAAGAGACATGCAACCTAGAAGCAACAGAGTTATTCGCTCCCATCATCACGTTGCAACCATCTGAACCAAAACCAATTATGTTAGATAATGGTATATTAAAATCACTTAGAGTTCTTATTAAGCCATTATATAAATTTTCAGCGGTTGCCGAAGATGGATTATTGGTATCAAACACGTTGTGCAATTCCCAAAATGTACTTTCAATTCGGTTTGAACCTTTATCATAATATCTGAAAATCATAAAATATTCAATTTAGTTTTAGTATAATGTATAGATATTATGTTATAATCAATAAGTTATTCATACCGTACAACTACACATGATGTTTTAATGGTTCCAATGTCAGTCGACTCATCAGTTAATAAGCTAAAATGTACATCCTTTAAGATGTTGGCAAGTTCATTTTTCTGCGTAGCACCAATAACATTTTTTATAATGGCTGTAGTCTTCGTACGTTTCATTGAAATTAATTTAGCAATATCTGTAGGTATAAATGATAAAATATTAATAATCTAAGTTAAAAAGTCACTGCTGAGTGCTGGGCATTTTTTTTTTAACTATAAAATCTCGTGTTTGATAAATAATGTAATAGGTACACTTAATAATAAAAAAAATGTATACCTGAATCAGGAAATATTTCTTTTAAAAGATCAGTTAAGTGATCAGATGCCAAAAATGGAATGTTGTGTTCCGCGAAATATCCAGCTAATTTTATTTCTGCTTGTTGGACAGACCTATGTGATTTTTTTTCTAATGAAAGCGTTGTATTAGCAAAAAATGTCATTGGTTTTTGTTTAGATGGCGCACAAGATATTAAACTACAATGTTTTTTTCCTTTAGCATGGTTTTTAAGAACGGTTATCTCTGAAACCATGGAGACTTGACAAAATTTGCATTTTGCTTTTGTCTCGTCGGTATCTCGTTCAATCCAATCTCGAAAGTTTGTATCTGTTTTCCACTCTGAACGGAACTTTTGGACCCGGTGTTTAGGTTTTTCATCTTTGGCCAAATCTCCACCTCGCATCATTCTCTTTTTTTTTGGCGTACTACAACCTGGAGTACCATGGTCTTCATCCATATTAAATAATAAATAGTTAGTGAACAGAAGTGAAAACACGAAGTGAGCACGACTGACACTAATAAACTGTGCTGTACAAACACTGAAACACTGGAAATATGAACGATGAACCTGGCGATCAGGCGATGAAACAATACTAATTTCACATAGCAATACGGTATCGGTGATCGGTCGTATACTCGTATTATAGACTATAGTCGTATAACTGGACACTCTGTCTCGTATGCATAAGCGGTAAGCGTAATGACTAATGAGTATAATATTATGATAGTATCGTTATTCAATACTCAGAATTGACTATACAGTATAATATTTATAGAATTGCGTGCGTGCGTGCGTCTGATACGAGTGACAGGATAACGACCGGTTTTCAGCCACTACCCGGCACCTAGACATCACACACGTCACCGGGATTATATTCTGAATAAGTCCTAATCCTAAAATAATTGTTAGTGAAATAAAATTAGGTAAAGTATATTTTAAGAAACAAATTTCAAACTATAAATATAAAAAAAAAAAAAAAGGTTTTATGGAAATTATCGTATTTTATTGTACGATTGTAAAATTATCGTACTTTCTTGTACGATAATAAGTGTGTATCGTACATCGTACAAATGACTCAAATTATCGTATGTGTACGATAGTTATCGTACGGTCGGCAACGCTGCAACTAAGTAATAAGGTACTTAGGGTATTACATATTTATCTAAATAAAACCAATGCAGAACAATAGACCTTCCATTTTCTTAAAATTACCCATTTGTAAAAACCTAGCGGCTAGCACAATAATGGTCTCCTATGTAATCCTTTGTAGTGTGTGAGACGTGCGCCGTGCCCGTGCGTGTCATTATCGGTATTTTTGTTTTGACTAGTTTTAAATAGAATTACGACTAAAATTTAAATTTCTTAGAATTACCGATTTATCAGTTATTTTTGTTGAATAATTAGTTGACTAATTTCATTTATTCATATTAGTAGGGATGTCCAAACGGATTTCAAAATCGATATATCGATATATCGAAGTAATCAATATCGATATGTGATATATATCGAAATTCAGATATTGATATATCGATAATATCGAAAAAAAATTTTTATTTTAACTTGTAAGTTAACTGATGCACAAAAATATAATACAATATATATATGTATATATTTATATCATATCATAATATAACAGAACAATTTTTTATACTTTTATAGTAAACAAATAAAATAACAAATGTACCTAGGTACATAATGGTAAAGTACTAACTAAAAACTGTTTAAACTGAAAACAGTCATAAACTAATATAATACATTTTTTTATATGTTAAACAAATAAAAACTTACATAAATACAATTAGTTAAAAAGGTGATAGTAATAATAATAATGAATAGTTTCAAAAATTCCATTTATTTTTGTCCACAGATTGTAAAAACAGTAGTTTTGACAACCTGGAACCAGTTAATCGGTTTCTTGTCTTGCTTATAGTTTCTCCAGCCTTACTAAAAAGACGTTCAGATGGTACGGATGTTCCAGGAACCACTAAATACTTCATCGCTAGTTTATATAATTTTGGAAAAATTGTTTTTGTGTTTTCCCATTCAATCAATGGGTCAAGATCCAATTTTAAAATATTATGGTGTAAGTAAGATCTTAATTCTTCTCTGGCAGTATTATTATAACCTTTTTCATCATTTCGCTTTTTTTCTAACGACTTGTGAAGGCCCCATAAATTACAATGATCGTCTGTGTTACTACCATCTGGTTCTGCAATTGGCAATGTTTCATTTTCTACAATATTATTATCGTTTTGAATCATTTTAACTATTTTTTCTTGGGCCTTAGAATTCGCAAGTGGATTTTTAAAATGCATATCCTTGAATCTCGGATCCAACAATGTGCAAATTGGTAATATAGATGTTTGCTCATAAGCTCCACATCTATAGTCAAGTTCTTCAATTAGTTTTGATTTCAATCGTATTGAGACAGCTGCATTAGGGATTTTCTTCACCAATTCATTTCTAGTACCTAATATTATTGGGATAATTTTGCTTGACATAACCGATTTTTCAGTGGATATTTCTTTAGTAAGTACTTCAAATGGTCTCAACAATGAACAAATGTCTTGTAAACATCTTATATCATGGCCAGATATCATTTCTGGTATATCATTACCATTGAGAGTGAGAAGCATTTGTGATAGGTTGTTGGTTAGTTTTAAAAATCTTTCAATCATGTAATACGTACTATTCCATCTTGTTCTGACGTCCAAAATGAGTTTTAAAAACTGCCCTTCTTTCTTACCTAAAAAATAAAGCATAGTAATTAGGTGTCATCAAAATAACTATAAATATAGTTTATTTAGGTACTTACCTTCAATATTTTGATACTTTCTCAATAAATCACTAGCTTTTGAGCTTCTCTTTACAAATTTAACTATTTCTCTGACTTTGGATACCAAGACTGGAACACCACCAGATTTAACATTAGTTTCTTTGTCAATTTCTTGTGTTTTCTCAATTCCTTTTTCAACTACCAAATTGATTGTGTGAGCAACACAAGGTACATGTTTATCGGCTGTATACTGGTCTACAATAGCTTTTTTTATATTAGCACCGCTATCAGTAACAACTGCAACAACATTGGTTTTTTCCAATCCCCAGTCAGCCAATGTGTTTACCAAAATCCTTCCAATGTACTCTGATGTGTGACTTTGATTTAATTCCACTGTGCCAATAGTTCCTATAAATTAATTTTATTAGATTATGTAACATTTACTTATTAACTAAAATTTGTTGAAATTAACAAATACAGTTTTTAATTTCAATAGTTCCTATAAACATCATATAAAATATATAATATACCTGACCTGTTTATATAAGTCAGTTAAAAGCAGTGGCGTATAAAGAAATAATTTTTGGGGTGGACTTTCATAGTAATTAGTAGATAGAAACTAGAAAGTGATATATTACTTAGAGGCTACTATCTACTATATATTTAACAGCTTATAAATATAAATAAAATATCTATAAATATATTCATGTTATTTTTCAACAGGCTATGAATTTTTTTAACTTATAATAGTACCTAGTAAAATATATTGTTGTTCTATAAAAGACTGTAATTTCGGGGAAGGGGCTGCAGCCCACTAGGCCCACTCTCTATATACGCCACTGGTTAAAAGTATTCTTATTCCTTTAAAACAACAATTCATAAAGTAAAGTATTTTTAACAAAGCATTACAGTACTTGATTCAAGTTTGGTGTCTTTGATTAGATGTAAAGTTATCCCAAGGAAGCTCTTCATCTGCATTGTTTCGGTCCATGCGTCAGTCGTAACAGCTACATGTTGAACTTTAGACAAAGATTCTTTGAATTTGCAAGATATGACATCATAAATGTCATCTACTCTTCTCCTAAATGTATTTCTACTAGGGATCTTATATAATGGACATACTGTTTGCATCAAATGTTGAAACCCTTCATTTTCTACAGTCTTAAATGGCACATTATCTTTACAAATGTAGAATGTTATGGCATTAGTAATTTTTTCAGCTTTTGAGCCACCTATAAATTAAAATTTGAATTTAATTAATTAAAAATTGCATTAGTTCACAATTAGTAGAGACGTAGAGTACATTCAATTTTTATAAATTATAATTTTACATACTTTCTGTAGATTTAATATTCATTACTAAATTAGGTAAAGTTTGCTGTACTTTCAAATATTTAGCACTAGTGACACTTGAACCCTATGAATAAATTTAAATGTATCATTGTTAAAATATACATTTAAATATGCAGGCACATAAATAAATATTCAGGAATATAGTAAAAAAAAAATACTTACACTAACAACATCTATAGTTTGAGGTTCATCAGCATTTACAACATCTGTATCACACGGTAAAACCGTTTGAGATTTCCTTTTTCCAGGAACAACTTTATCAGAAACATCTTGTAAGTGTGTAGCATAATGAGCTTTCAAATTCCCAATACCTCCATTCGGTGTCTTGTAAGGTTTATTACATTTTTTGCATATATAATTATATGCATTGATCTTCTTAAAATAAACCAACAATTGAGCTTTTGAAATATCATTTGACATCTTAATTATTTAAGTAACAAGACAACAATAATTAATTAAATGAAATGCAAAATTGACAATGGTAATTGGTAAACACTATAAACACCAGTACATCACACATTCACACAATCAATCTCGTACATTCGTACAGACATCTAGTCACAATTTATACAATTAATTAAATAAAATGCTAAATTGACAATGGTAGTGGGTAAACACTAAAAACACGAGACATCACACTCGTACGTCTAGTCACAAATCACAATTTAATATTTATACAAAAATACAATATGCAAGGCAGACAGGGAACTCACACTATAGTCTATAATCAATTTATAACAATTATTAATAACAATATTATTTAATGATAATCTAAAATTAGATTATTTGTTATTTACCATGGCTAAATATATAGGTATGATCGCATTGAGATTTGAGACGCATTTTCGTTATGGGTTGCGCACGACGTACTATTATTGCATGTTTTAGCATGGAAAGAAATCTCAGCTGGCAGTGATTTTTAGATTTATTTAACCATGAAATTAATAATTTTTATTGTTTTGATAATACCGATATTTCAGACAAAAATATCGACATAGTCGATATATCGAATTATAAATATCGATATAAAAATATCGATATTTAGAGTGAAAATATCGATATTTCGATATTATCGATAATATTTTGACATCCCTACATATTAGTTGGTTGAAAAGAAGTAGTCGAATAATTAGCCGACTAATTTCATTTATTCATATTAGTTGGTTGAAAAAAATAGTCGACTAATTATTCGACTAATTTCTATGATTTGTATATAGCTGGTCGTGCAAATTATTAGTCGAATAATAGTCGGTAGTACGTGATGAAAACCGACTAACAGTCGGTAGTATCAAATAGTCGTTTCTGCCCATCACTATCTGTGACGTTAGGTGGAGATACCATTTGGAATGACTGATGAAGAAGTAAGTAGTCAATTGATATCCACAAATCCAACATCCGCAGCTATTGTTGAAATTAATAAATACCTACAAGAAGGGTTAATTCCAAGGCATGAAGATCCTCTGAAGTGGTGGAAAGACAATCGAAATGTTTATACGTGTTTGTTTGAGCTTATGAAAAAACGTCTCTGTGTACTTGCAACATCAGTTCCATGTGAACGTATATTTTCGAAGGCAGGACAAACAATATCTGAAAAAAGAAGTAGGCTAAGTAGTAAAAATTTTGAAAAAATGATTTTTTTAAACTTTAATTCAAAATAGCTTGTTTTTGAAATATTAATATTTTTTGTATATATTCGTAATTTTGTTACTTTAATTACTTTACTTAATTTTTTACTTATTAAGTTAGAAAAACACATGGTATTTTTTAATATTTTTAAAGTTTTAACAAGTTTTTGAGATGTCATGTATTAATTAATTAAAAATCACAATATGTTTATTAAACTCAGCAGTAGTAAAATAATGTGACATTATAATTAAATAAGTAACTAAGTAAAAACAATTTTGATGTTCCAACCTTTGGTATACTAAAAGATCATGAATAGCATTATAAACCACAATGTTTGATAATATTATTATACATCTTGACAATTAAATAACATTAACAATAGAAATTTTAATAAGAGTAAATATTTTAAGTAGTGTATTAATAATTAATAACGTACAATATAGTTTCCCAGTCTTTTGGTATAGTAAAATATTATTATTAGTTAAATCACATTTTTGTTTTAATCTTTAGGTAAATTATATTAATATATTATTATTATTTATTTCTACTAAGTTTTTATAATTTATATCTCTTTGACATTAATTTTAATAACTTATATATTATTTGAATTTATTAAGCCCTTACCTTTAGAATCTTTCACGTTCTGTTCATTAGCAGTTGAGTTTTTATTTTTTTTATATTGTAATGGTAAAGCATTTGTTTTTGTTGGAAGAAATAAACTATTCTTTTGATATTCTAATATTGATAATGAATCAAATATTTATTTTGTATTTTATTAATTTGTTGTCTTGACAATAAATTTGTTTTTATAAAACTATAATACATTTGATAACATAATGTGATGAATATTATTTTTACGTCACAATATCACAGCTACCATTGCGAATCATATGCGTTACTAACATACCTACGTATATGGTTACGTATCAGGATAATATAGGTACTATCATCATAGACCTTATCCTTATGACCAGTCTGTCACAGGCCAGAGTTAGATGAATCAGTACTGAGTCAGTAAATCTAAATTCGTAGTATTACCCATAATTCATGAGTTGTAGTGAATCAGTGTGGTAACATTGAGTTATTGAGTTACTGAACTAAAGCAAACTGATTCAATTCATTCAGTTCACTTAAAAGAGTCAACTCTTTGAATCAACTCACTCACGAACTACCCATCCCTACAAAATATTAACAATTTTGACATCTTATTATAATAGTATGGTTTTACCTATTTTACGTTCATTAAGTTAATTACCTACATAATTGTACGTTGATTATCATTACTTACTATGATGCTATTTCTTGTAAACACAAATATTTTAATTTGTTATAATAATATCTATTACATTGTGATGACTAGTGTTGACCTTAAATTCAATGATTTTCAGATATTAAGTATAAATAATTATAATTTTAATAAATATTTATATTTGATTACTTTGTGAAATAATAAAAACAATGTATGAAAATTTTATATCAATAAAAATTATAACAAATAAATAACATCGGTCAAACATGGATAAATCTCCTTCAACTGATGCTTCAGTCTCAACTTGACTGGAATATAGTTTTGCTTTAGTCATTCTACTGAGCATATTGTTTGAAGGAGTAAACTTAATATAATTGCTGTTACTCTGTCGACCACCCTTAATATTTTGTTTTGCTTGCAAAATCCCATTGATTGTCTCAGTTTTTAGTCTTTGACGCAACTTAGTTTTAAGACAGTTGACAGTGGAGAAAACTCGCTCACAATCAGCATTTGCATGAGGAAAAGATAAAACATTTAATGTATATTGAGCTAAATTTTGACAGTCTGGAATACTATTTTTTACAAAGCTCCTATAATATAAAGGTTAGATTTATAATTTTGTTATAATTTATTGAGAATAATTATATACATAATATTAAAATAATCAATTGGTTATTTGATTGCTTACCAAAACAAATCAGCAGGCACTCTTTGAGTTTTTGGATCTGTTATCTTAAGTAGTACATCATACTCCAAACTTGAAACTAAAATGGGCAGTGATCTCCATTCATCATCAATTGCTTGCATTTGCTGTGTACCAGATACTATCTTAGGCAACGATTGTAATAGGGGTAACAGCGTTGGAGAAGTTTCTCTAAATGAATGGGAAATGGCATTTTGCGGTTTTAACATAACTAATTGTGAGAGCACTGGATTGGCCATGTTATACCGTTTTTTTTATCTCAGTTGCTGCGACAACAAAGAAATCTCTGCATCTAAACATTAATTAAGGTATAAGTCAATAGCAATAATTTGTAATATTGAAATATTATTTGCATTTGACAATGGTTCCGGTGTTGTATTGATTTTTAATTCTATATTTTTCTCATTTATAATCTTTAACATTTTTTAAGAATAAAGATTTAGTTTTTAGTTATCTTCATTTTCTAGCTCATGTTCAGAATCTGTGTCTATGTATGGGATAACTGCATTTGGTGAATCATCTTCACTATCGGCATTATTTAAAATAGCAGAGGTCACACTCTGCCCTGGAGCAATATTAATTTTTTTCTTTTTCTGTTTTTATCTGTTTTTTCATATCGTTTATCTTTTAAATAATTAACAACAATATCATTAATATTAGGGTCATCTTCTTTTGGTAATTTTTGTTTGATAGCATTCCGATCTAATTGAAAAATTCCAGTGGCACGAAATGCAGATTTTAAATTGTTCGATATGCTTCCAACATCATTGATTCGTTGAAGACAACTACTTACCAATGCTGGAAACAATGACTTCGGAATAGATTGCATACTTGGGTCATTTCAAAATTATGGGTTATTTCAAGCTTCACTTTTTTCCAATATTAAAATCTAAATATCCCCATTTTTTTTTGTAAATTACTTATCTGTATGGACCTTACAGAAACCTCATTGAGTGTGCGCACATAATCATCAATATTTTTGTATATATTTAAGTTTTGAAATTTTCAAAATGTAGGGAGAGAGGATTGGATGCAGGGAGAGAGAAATTATGAAAAAATAGGCACATAGGTATATAATATTATATATATATATAATATACCATATACATTATACAAATTAATAACAACAACAGCAGTAACTTAAAACTAAAAAATATTTACTTATTAACAATACAACAGTCACTTGAAAAAATTATTTTAACATTTGACTCAACATTTTAAAAATATGAAAATACTAACAATCACAATTTGTTGATAGATAATTTAGTAATTAATATCTTTTGTTGTGAGATCTTCCTTTAATATCACAAACAATTTAAGCACCTTTTTATAATTGTAAAACATAACAGTAACAGTCTTGAACAATACTAACAGTCTTGAACAATATAACAGTCTTGAACAATATAACAGTCTTAACAAATAACAGACTTTGAATACATTTAAACATAACCAAACCTTGGTTTAAAATATTAAAACAAAAATACCTACATCTATAAAAACTTTAATAATACATTATGAACTTTTTGGTGGGGGAATCAAGTCTTACTGATTACTAATCTATATAATTACCCAACTTAAAACACTACAATTTTAAATTATCATTAGAGTTCTTTGACATTAACTTTAAAAGGAAACAAATATACCACTTTTCTTTTTTTTAATAACAAATTTGGATTTGGAAGCACCTGCAAAACTTGATCTGTACTAATTACACAGTTATCATTTTCTGTTACAATAAATTCTGTAGAGGAGTTTCCAAGTTGTTTTAGTCCGTTTACAGTGATGGACTTATCTTCATTCTGTTTTTCAACACAACAAACGTAACGAAAGCCTAGAACATCT